AACTGGATGTTACAGAGTAGTACAGGTTACAGCCTGCCCCATAACTGACTGACAATAGAGAGGCCCACCCCACATCTCAGCCTGTACCATACAGGAGAATGACCTTGTTGAAACATACAGCATTCTTAATGAGCTTGACAAGGTAAATGCAGAGATGTTATTCCCGCTTGTGGAGAATCCCGTTGAAGACAGAGAGAAGAAAGAATTGTTTTCTCTCAGAGGACAGCGAATGTGTGGAATTCTTTATCATCGAGGGCTGTCAAGGATGGATCAATAAGTATATTGAAGTCTGAGCCAGACAGATTTTTAATCAGTAAGGGAATCAAAGGTTATTGGGGAAAAGACAGGAAAGTGGAATTGAGGATAATCATAACAGCCGTGATCTCATTGAATGGTGGAGCAGACTCAGTGGGCTAAATGGCCTGCTTCTGCTCCTACATCTCATAGTCGATAATATGGTGCAGGCATTAAGAAGGGCAGAGGAAGCGGAGGAGGTCCTGCCCTCGGAAGATGCTGGCTAATCTTACTTTCTTGCAGTGCTATCAACCCCAACTCTGCCAACACCCTGATGGTAGGCACTGCCAATACCACAGGCCGGCTCCTGGGCAAGGCAGCCAGGAATATTAGATAAGTCAAGGGGTATTGGGCAGGGCGGTTTTGACCAGCTTGGGGATAAAGGAATGGGGCGGGAATGCAGTTGGATGGGTTTAGGGGAGCAAGCAAGTAGGAAGAAAGTTGGGATGTGGGACTATCCCTGGATGGGAGTAGGATGCCTCTGATGTCCAATAGGCACCCCAAAGATAGTAACCCTCCCCCATCATCCCATTTGTCTGAAACCTTTTCACAACACAAAATGGAGCCCATTCCCACTTGGCTACCATAGCAACCATATGATGATGTGTGTTTGGCTTGTTGTTCTAGGTTATGTTTCTTGTTTAAGGTTGTATACTGCACTGGTGCATGAGAGGTCCTAGGTTTAATTCCCAGAAAAATCTGTGATTCTTATGGGATGGGTATAGTTAGGGGTCATTGTTTGATCGGTACAGACATGATGGGCCAAAGGGTATTTTTCTGTGCTGGCATTCTCTATGACTTTATAAGATAGGGATCAACCAAACTTGCAGTGAGCTTAATTAAACTTTGATTATTTATTGACCTGGTGGTGGGCAAGCTACTAATTTCAATGCTTTCTCATGTTCCATGTTCAGGGATCCATTGGGAAGGGGGTGGGCTGAGCATATACTCCGATTTCACACACTCGACCCTTCCCCATGCCTTAGCCCCAGCCTAAAAAACTTGGTGAGGGGCTTGGAAAGTCTAATTCCACAATTCAAAAGCACCTCTTTGGCTATAGGGCACTTTGAAATGTACCGTGGTTGTGAAAAGTGTTACATAAATGCAAACCTGCATTTTGTTTTTAAAGTTACCCAACCACGTGTGAAAAATATAGTTCTAGGGAATGAAATTCTGCAGCTTGTGTTGACGGAGCTGTGGGACAGAATCACACAAGGCTCTGAGAGATTGGGCTATGGTGAGGTGTCTGGCAGAAATGGCACTCAGTGAGACCCATCCCAATCGCACTCTATCTTTTATGGTTTTCTCAAGCAGCCACTTCAGGGGCATTATTGCTTGTTGAATGCCCTGTTAACATCCCAATTTACCTCATTAATATTCAGCTTCCCATCTCACAGAATGAGCCAAACAATGTCATCATCGAGAAACTGGCCCCTGACCGGGTATGCAGTCATGTCAGTAAAGCTGCATGCTCTGGAGGAGCTTCATGTTGGACACCGGGGAGCATCGGTGATTGTAACAAAGTCAGCCTGGTCGACCTCATAGAATATGAGTTCCCTGATTGGGGCCATTAACCTGGTCCAATCAGGGAGCCCTGGCTGACAGATAAGAACAGGACTGTCAGACATCCTATTCGCTCTGAGAGATGGCTCTGAAAAGGCAGGACTAAAGTTAAGGACTGTTCATGTGTAAATAAAGGGTGACTTGGTGACAGAATATTGGCCTCTGTGGAGTTATTTCAGCACCAACATCTCAGAGCTTCAGCAACACACACCCCATGTTCACATACAGTGGCATCTGACATGTTCCAGCCCCTAAAAACCCACATAAGAACATGAAGACATTAAGTGTATAAGTCCCGCCCTGATTCCAAAATGCAACACCTCATTTATCTAAATTAAACTTCATCTGCCACTCCTCGGCCAATTGGCCCATCTGATCAAGGTCCTGTTGTACTCTGAGGTAAGTTTCTTCGCTGTCCACTACACCTCCAATTTTAGCATCTTCTTTCTTTTGTTTGTATTTTAACTAGAGGTAAGAATAAAGTGTGTTTTACCTAAAGCTGAGTAGCGTGACCAATCGAATTATACCTGGATTACAGCACCTTACACTCACCTTTAAATAAGGTAAAAGCTGGGGTCTAGGCTATCTCCTTGATATATTTGCAGGAGGTTTGGCCTTGTTCATAACAATGTGTCGAAGTGCTTCCTAACATCTCTCTGAACAGTCTGGCCCTGATTCTCAGACTCTGTCCCTAGTTCTAGAATCCTCAACCAGTGGAACTAGTTTGTCTTTATCTACCTTGTTTTTTCCTTTTAATATCTTGAAGCCTCACAGTGGAAAACCCTCCAAAAGACTCGATGTAACTTGAACTTAGTGGAAAAAAAGTAAGGTTCAGCCCCTGATTTTTCCTCCTGCAAATGTGACCAAGGAATCATTTGCTGCACGATACAGCCACACACCTAATATTCAATCACATGGAAACTATTGAAAACTTTTCCTCTGCAACTATCTTCTTTCCTGATCTCAAATTGTACGTTAAATCTATTGAAATTACATGTGCTGTGTTCTATTTAATGTTCTGGATTTTATTGTGTTTTTCTTGTAATTTCACAATCAGAACTGATTCATAAATTCCGGTTGTAAAATCAGGCTGGTACGTCAATCATAAACTTAGTGACCTGATACAACACTTATAATTAGTATAAACATGTAACCAGGATAAAGAATACATGCAAGATGTGTGATTATATAATACATATTTTATATATGTTGCAGTTAAAGATAAATATCTATTGCTGCATAACAAACATGACCCATATTGTAAAAAGCCATTAATAATGAATTGTTCGAATCCATTCTGTTGTAGAAAAGGTGATCCTCTCTAATGTGGGAAGACACTTCAAATCAAGACTAGAATATCTGATAGAACTGGCATTATTAATTTTTTAAAATTGTCTTTGGAATATCATACAAGCAACTTGTTATGAGGGGTGTTCTCAAATGGTTGCTCTTAATAAATAAATATAAAAGTGAATAAAGGATAAAATCAGATCAAGGCGCACAAAATGGAACAGGCTCGATCTTACAGAACCACAGAATTATTATGGCACAGAAGGAGGTCTTTCAGCCCAATGTGTCAACACTGATTCTGTTACCTAGTGCCAATTTCCTGCCTTTATATCCCTGCAACCCATTTCTAACTGAATAACCACACAATGCCGCTTTTGCATTCCTCCATTGAACCTGCCTCTACCACATTCCCAGGTGGCGCATTCCATACCCTAACTACTCATCATGTGAAAATGTTTGCAGAGCACTTCACCCTCTTTTTCTCCCCCTTTTACAAGTAGGAACAGCTTCACCCCATCTACTCTATCTAGCACATGCTTGTGAAAACCTCAGTCAAATCTCCTATCAACCCCTCCTCTCCAAAGAGGACAGTCCCAACTTCTTCAATCTAATCTCATCGATGATGTTTCTCAGTCCTGGAACTATCCTTGTAAATTGCCCTGCACCCTCTCCAATGCATTCGCATCTCTCCTGTAATGTGGTGCCCACAACTGTACACAATACTGCAGTGACGTCTAACAAGTTTCTCGTACAATTTCAACATCACGGGTAGTGGAGAGGGTAATGGAGTCTGCCTCATTAGGGGCATTTAAGCGGCTATTAGATAGGCATATTAGGCTATCAGATAGTATAAGGTAGGGGTGGAGGTTAGATGGACCTTAGGATTAGGGTAAAAGTTCGGCACAACATCGTGGGCGAAGGGCCTGTACTGTGCTATGCTGTTCTATGTTCTATCACCTCCTTGCTCCTGTACTCTGTGCCCCTGTTAATAAAGATGAGAACACTGTGTGCCTTATTAACTGGTCTCCCCACCTGTCCTGGTACTTTTAATGATCTGTACACATATACACTGCGTCCCTCTGCTCCTGTACCCTCTACAGAGCAGTGTGGTTCCTGCTTCCCCCTGTCCCTCAGCTGAAGTGTTGGGTCTGGAGCTCAATAATGCTAGAGGCAATGCTCTTTGTTTTAAGGCAAGATCTTTGACCCTATCTCAGGAGGTAATTCTGCCTTAGAGAGCAGCAGTCAATCATTGTTCAGCTCTGCCAGTGGAGGTGCTGGGACTACAGGAAGACATATCAACCAGGGAACCAGGGTCTCAACACGGGGATGGAGTTGTTTACAGGATGGGGGCTGGGATCATTAGACGAAGAGGAAGTTTAAAGGGAGGGGATGACCTTTTTTGCAGGAGTTGGAGGGAGGTGGGAGGGTATGGGAGAGGTTCGTCCATTTGCCCAATGCCAACCTGTTCAGAGAAAGCTGGACTGAACCTCACCAACCACAGGTTAAATACAAGCGTGGGTGTGTTCAAGTCAGTAAGTCATCATTAATTGGCCATTTCAAGCCCTGAGGTAACTGAGCTTCCTGCGCCTCACCTGAACCCTGGAGAATTTCAAAGAGATCGGGGAAGGAGAGTGGAGGTCGGGAAAACGAATCCCTGGGTGTCTTATTGTCTTACAACTGCTGGTGAGGAAATATAAACTCCAGCCCAGTGCTCCAGCTTGCTGAAGTATCTGGCAGTGAGCAAACATCAATTTCTGCAGTCATACAAGAGGGAGCATCTAAGTAGTTTGTATAGTCTGTACAACTTTTATAGGTTTAATTTCCAAGTTATTTATATCTTGTTTCTTTCTCAGGAAGCTTACTGGATTTTCTAAAGGATGGTGATGGAAGGATATTAAAACTACCACAGCTTGTCGACATGGCAGCACAGGTAACTGTGAAAGGGTTTCCTATTCTTCACACTGATCAACATTTTATGCATTTGATTATTTGTCTCTCAAGTTGTTAGATCTTGTGTGATTTTGTTCTTTTGGCAAAACAGGAAAGTTTCTTATCTCAGACAACAAGGTGCAGAGCTGGATGAACACAGAGCCTTAGCTAATTTTACAATGAATAAAGTCCCTGAAGCTACAGACAAACCACATTTCTCAGCTCTTCTTGAAACAAAGTTAAGAAATAACTCAC